CTGGAAAAAATGTAAGCAATGTTTGGTTCAGGACAATGGTTATATCTTGACGTCTATTTTAGCGCTTTTGGTCATTCTTTTGTCATATCAAAGAAAGAAATATCATACATTTAGCTGGATAAAATATGCCAATACTTTAAACCAATGTTTTTCGGTCTCTTTTACTCTAAGCCGCACTTTTAGAATAAGTAAAACTCTGCGACGGGCTTTAAACGAAAAACTAATCATGAAATCTGAAAATATGAAATTTTGGTTTAGCATTCCCAAATATGATTAGCAGTTTCCATTTAAAGAAATTTATGAAGAATCTCCTATGTTTTTATGAGGCCAATAATGACTGATTTAATTCCCTTAACGAAGGCAAAAGGGAAAGGATTATTCACTCCTTAAAGATTAAGGAATTTAACATCCAGTTTAAAATATCAAAAGAAAAAGACTTGACTTCGACATGGAAGCTATATGCTTGGTGTCTCCATGTTTTTAAAAATATTTTTTTAAATATATTTAAATAATTTATAAATTACTTTTCTGTTAACTCTGAACGCACCTAGCTACATTTCAGGGCGTATTAAAGTGCACCGATTGAGAGACGCTGCTCCAACAAGTAGTTTTCCAATGATTTCTTCCGGTGCAAAATCATTAAACCATAAGGAAACACCTTTACGACCTCATTTTGAGTTCCTTATTTCATCTTCTCCTGGCAAATCAGTAGGTGTCACCACTAATTAAGTGTACGTAAGGTTTAAATTGAATTTTTAAAAATGAAAAAGCTTTCATTTTCGCTTTAATTGAAAGCTAAAGAATTTAAAATTTACTATTGCCAATAAGTAAAATACTCTGTGGTGTATTTCAAACAAAAATTATATTGATCGGAATCAATAAAAGACACCATTTTGACACATTTGTAAACAAAAGTTAATTCTGAGTTGTAAAAATCTTGAAAAAATTTCTGAAACGTTATTTGAGGAAAATTAACAAATTTAAAGTTAAATTAATCTGAATTGAAAGAAATATTACTTACTTATAGCATAAAAGGTTGTATACAGGCATTTATTAAACACATAGTCTTGTTTTCCTGGCGTGTTGATTGATTTATTAACAGCCGAAACAGCGCCAAACATGTTCATAGTTAAGTATGGTGGGTTAGGGTTAGGATTAGTTAATTCAGTTCTTTAGTTAGGTTTTGGATAGTGGCTTGGGCCTTGACCGTTTCAGCAACTTTAGTATTAAATCATAGACAATTTCAATGGTTAACAACATTGTTTTATAGATAATTATTTTGAGTAGGATATCTAATCTTCACTGAATGCTGCAATTATAAGGCTCTGTACTAGATTAAGCTATATTTGAGAGAAATTTAAAGCCTTTAAATTAGGTACCTCCACTAAGTTGCTATAGGTAAGGTTTAAATTGAATTTTTAAAAATGAAAATTTTTCTTGAAGTTTTCATTTCAGCTTTAATTGAAGGCTAAAGGATTTAAAATTTACTATTTCCAGTGAGCAAAATACTGAGTGATGTATTTCAAACAGAAATTATATTGATAGAAATCGATTTGATTTTTTTCATTAAAATCGATCAAAACGGCCATTTTTAACATATTTGTAAACAAAGTTAATTCTCGGTTTTAAAAATCTTGCAACATTAATATATATATTTCTGAAATGTTATTTGAGGAAAATTAGAAAATTATTAATCTGATTTGAAACGAATATTACTTACTTATAGCATCAAATGTTATATACAAACATTTCTTAACAGCGGGGTCTTGTTTTTATGGCATAGTAATCGAGTTATTGACAGCTAAATGTGTTTATAGTTAAATATGGTGGAGCAGACCATAATGGATTTTTTTCGCCGTAAGTAGGGACAACCCTTAAAACACGTGACCTTTTAATGATAGATTTATCGGTTTGTACATCCATACTTCAGAAATTTTGCACGCAATCACATACAAAAACAATTCAAACTTCTTTTAAAAATATTCGGGAATGCCAGATTATAATAAGCTTTATGATATATGATTAGTAAGTATAGTTTTACTTAATAACACTATTTCCTAAGAATTATCATATTGAAAATTAATTTTAAAAGATTTAAAAGATTTATAAATTATTCAATTTAAAATTGTAAAAAATGAAAACAACTCTAGTAAAAATTAATTTTTCTCCGAAAAATTTTCTTCTTCAGACAATATTGTCTTTAGTATATATTATTCATAAAAGTAATTAAAATTTTCTCTAATTAAATAATGTTTTAGTTTTATTGCTTTTTTGTTTGTTTGTTTTTTTTTTATTTTCGATTTAGAACAGTTTTTGGTAAGACCGAGTCCGATTTTGCAAAAAAATTCGATGATTTAAATTCTTCAAAGAATTCTGCTTTTAACTAAACATTATGACGTTAAATTTCTCAAATTTCAAATAATGGACTGAAACACATGTAAAAAAAAATATTTTTACCAAGATTTCTAATAGAAAAAATTTTTTAAATAATTTCATTCATTTATGAATAAGTCCTGAAAATTATTTGATTTTAGCAAGAATTTCCAAATTAATGTCCATGCCACCACAAAGAAAGCCTAAAATTTGCTATGCTAAAAATTAGTGCAACTGTTGACGCAAGAAAAACAAGTTTTTTTAATAAAAATTTCGGATGTTCTAAAAAGGAGTAAAAAATTTAATTAAATAATCCTAAAATACTTTGATACACCCTCTTAGTAATAACATAAGGATTTTAACGATAAAACTATGTTTTCATTATGTTTGGAGCATGTTTTCATCACAGTATGTTGATTTTTTAGCGTGGTGGTACCTACAAATGACGCTTATGTTTCATTCCTAAACTCATGATAAAGCGATTGTATGAACTGCGACCAATTTCTTCATTGTCTCTTGACATCGTCTATCCACGTATAAAGTGATGGACACGATATATGCGCGGGTGCTGTAATGGATAGCGGCCCAGAATGAGAAATCAGAGGGGCGAGTTCCAATTCTGTTCGCTACGTTCACTTCGGCAGAAATACCTTTTGAAAGAGGGTATAAATCCGTGTATGGGTAAAGTAGCCTCGGTTGGTCTAGGAGAAGCAAAACTCTGAATCCCAACCAGCCTGTAGAAGGCTGGGTTCCTTCAGGCTATCTTGCTCAAGCCACCGCTGCCAGCACATGCGGTAACTACGACCCTAATGACTTACCGGTATTTTTTTACAAGAAAGTGTGGTAAATGTGAAATCGGAGAGCTGAGTTCAAATTCCTGCCTAACAGCCTAACCTGCCCCATTTCCTTTCGCAATAAGTGTTGTAGAGTAGTTTTTACAGTGGAGGCTTGTATTTCACTAAGTCGGTCCTAAATTAGGTTCGACGTACAAAAACGTTATGAACTTGAAATAATAGTTAATGACGCAGCAATCTAGTTGTGGTGGTTCATACCTTAATGTCCGACATCGACTGACTCACTCAACTCCACTGAGCCCAACTAGCGACTTCTACTACTGCTTATTACGTGTGGGAGAGTCTATTACAATAGAATAGGTAATGTTCCAGTATAACAATAAGGCTCCCAGAAAAAGAAATAAATTAAAAAATAAAAATAAATAAAGGAATAGCAAAGAAGACTGGAAACTCTAATCTTGGGTTGAAGTCAGTTAATACATTGTTTCCCTAACAGTGCGACGGAAAAAGATAGCCGGTGAGGCGAAATGATTGAACGACAATCAAAGATTTAGAAGCAGCTTCAAAAAATCCAATATAACAAAAATAAACATGATTTCAAAATTTAAAATATTATTATGGATTACTTGTAATCGCATGCATGAATTCCAGTATAAATTGTTAAAAATAATTACTGACCGATCTTGTCATTGTCATATTTTTACATTATATCAAGTATTAAGAATATAATAACTAATTGCAAATTAGAGAAGAGAGTTATCAATAATAATGTTCTGACTTCAAATCCGCGTTTATCTCCTTTTAACCCTCTGTTTGTTTTGTTTTGTTTTTTTTTTTGGTTTTTTGGGGTTTTTTTTTTTTAATGTACTTTATATCACATAAAATTTGGTAAGATTCAAGCAAATTTCCATTCCGAAAATACGGCTCAAAGAAAAATGCTTGGAAACCACTGGTCTAAAAGGTCATTCAACAGAGTATAAACTGGAAACCATTCCACTATATTCCCCCAATAGGTTATAGCAATTCACAGATAATAAAGAAACGAATTGCCTGGAAAGCCATAATCGAGATACCAAAAAATAAACATGATTTCAAAATTTAAAATATTAGGAACTCTTGTGGTATGGAAGACATAACTTCTTGTATGTAGATCATTTTTTAAAAAACACAAAATATTATTTTCGTTAGCATTTTCCTTATTATTGAAAAGTAACACCCTATTTTAAAATACTTATAATTAATTTCTTAACTATAATTTTTACAAGAAATATATATGAAATGAAAGCGTTTAACGTGAGGATTTATTTAAAGTTCAATATGGGTACCAAATTTCGCTACCATCTTCTCAAGCCGCCCAGGAATCGCGCCAAGTGATTTCACAAGGAACTCTTGTAGTATGGAAGACATAACTTCTTGTATTCACCCTTCAAGTTCTTCCAGAGTCTTGGTTTGGTATATCAAACTTGCTTCTTTAACCAATCACAAAGAAAAAAGTCACAGGGTGTTAAGTCAGGACTCCTAGCTGGCCACTCATACATAAAATAGGGAGTAACTTTTCAATCACCCTATATATATATATATATATGTGTGTGTGTGTGTGTGTGTGTGTGTGTGTGTGTGTGTGTGTGTGTGTGTGTGTGTGTGTAATAAATGCTAAAAGAACCTGGAACTACCTACCCTTTTCGTTTTAAAACATTGCTTGAAACTTTTAAATAATTTCAACTTGCAATATGCAGTTTGGTAAATAAAATGTTTGGTGTACTCTCGCAAAATGTGAAAATGTTTCACCGAGTTAATGAGATTTAGTGAGTCCCGATAAAAATAAAATAAAAT